AAGATGAGTATTTTTTATATTTTTTTCAAGAAAATGGATCATTTAGTGTGGTTGTGGATGGGTGTGGGTGTGGGTGTTTGAGGGTGTGGGGTGGGTGTTTTGTTTATTTTACTGAAGATACCGACAGTCACACTCACATCCACACTCACCCACACCTACACCCAAACCCACACTCCCACCCAAACCTACAGCCACGCCCGCACACACCGACACCCACACTTAAACCTACCTACACTCACACCCACCCTCACCCGTTTTACCCACACCCCACACCCACACGCTCACCTACACTCACCCTCACCCACCTCACGCACACTGAAACCTATACCCACACCCACGCTCTCAAGATGTGGGTGTCGCTGTAAGTCAGAGTATTAGCCATTAGTACCACACCCGCATCCACACGCAAACCCATACCTACGCCCATAGTCATTCACACCCACCACCGGCACCCACACCCTCACCCACACCCACACCCACACCCACACGCACACCAACAACGTAATACTCTAAAAATTTGAGTTTGATCGTTTTGAACATACTCTATCGACTAGAGAGTAGTGGATTAAAGTTTTTGAAAAGGTTATAGAACAGCCATCATTTTGAGAAAAAAAGAAGCCTAGACGGTTTCGAATTCAAATGGTGAAAAAAACTCAGCGAATGACTGCGCTGACGCGTCTCGCGCCGAAATTGTGATTTCCGTGTTAGAAGCTAACTTCCAGTCAATACTAAGATCAGGATCGTTCCAGAGAACTGTTCCATCGCCTTCCGAACAAAAGTACGAGTTCATTTTATACATAACACAGGTATTTGGTTCGATAGTCACAAAACCATGAAGATAACCAGCAGGTATGAACACATGCTGGAAGTTATCAGAACTTAATTCGATGCATATATGTTGTCCGTAAGTCGGCGAGCCCCGTCGTATATCGACGATTACATCACGAATACGACCAGTTAATACAGACACTAGTTTGGCTAAGGCATGTGGTGGAGATTGATAGTGTAAACCTCTAACAGTTCCCGCGCAGAGTGACACAGACATACAATCTCGCACGAATTTGTTGTTGATACCAGTCGCAACAAATAGGTTATTCTCATTGAATGTCTCGACGAAGAAACCGCGGTTATCTCGAATACAGCGCGGGGTCAACAAAAGAACGTCGGGAAACTTTAGTTTTTCAACTGTTATATTTGGTACAGTGTCAGACATTTACCATATAATTCTGTAAAAACAATACCAATGTTTTCAGTGTATATCACTGTAATTTAATAATAAAAATTTGTACCAAATCCAAGAACTAATAATACATTACTTCTTACATACATCTATTTCAAATAGATATATTACCATAGCGAATCGTTTCGATTTCAATATAGTATTCTGGACTAGGATGATGACTGAAATCCAGGGCTCAAGAGGAAAGACAAAATCTTAAATTTCAGGAATCCTTAAATCCAACAAATACAGGCTACTCAGACCTCAAACTCTAAGTGTGGGTGTGAGTGGGTAGGTGTGGGTGTTAGTGTACATACATGAGTGAATCGTAACTTATTTGTACAATTGACAAAAAAACAATTAAAGTGCTCTTAGAGAAAATTCAGTTAGTACATTTTGTTCCGTATCATTTAGTGAATATGTAGTAGCAATTTCAGCGCTGCCCGACTCGTCCTTGTCGAGATATTGAAACAACAAGTTCGGGTTTTCAACAAAGAGGTTTTTAAAAGAAATTGCGCGGAATGTGCATTGAAATCTTATGTATGGTTGTCTCATAAACAATGCTTTTTCTTGCTCTAGATTTCATCTAGAAGATTTATGAAGCTATGCCATAAAGTGCCGGCTCTTGAAACTTTAAAAAGAAGCCGTACATTTTGATATAGCGAAAAAAACCTATTAATTAAGAATTTACCCCCAAAATCTGATGGCCTGCCAGAAATAAGTTCTAAATAGATCAAAACGAAATTAATCAGACTCAGCACGTGTTCATGAGTCAAAAAGTCTATGATAGTAATGCGTTCCGTCGAAATCAGCGTAAAAATATATAAGAAAAAAATCGGCTCCTTATAAAAAAAACTGGGTCTACAAGAAAAACTGGGTATACATTCAGAAGTATATCCTAAAGTTCTCCCTAAAAGTGAACCAAATAGAAATCTATTTGATGATATTCTTGTTCAGTTTTTTTACGCTGCATCTTTCTACGGCAGTCAGACTAATTTTTTTCAGTGGCTGAGGAATAAAAAACAAAACAAAGGTGAAAAATTGGGTCTACGGTTAGTATGTAATTAGAGCTTTTTGGTCTTCTGACCTAATTAAAAAAAGTTTATCACAACTATTTATATACAGTTTTGTAGCATTTTTACGCTCTATCTTTTACTTATTTTGGTTTTTAAAAATAATGTTCCTTGTCCTCTCTACAACCGTTTTAAACTCGGTCTACACGTTGTCTGTAAATCTATTTTCGTCAAATAGAACCATAAAAAAGAAAACAAAAACAAAAGTGAGTCACATGGATCGATAGAGAATTAAATTCTACACAAAACTTGCTATTCGCCTATTTCATTTTTCTCCTTTCATTCCTTCAAAAATTGTGTTTTTTATCGATGACTCATTCAAAAAACCGATTTTTTGGACATGTTACTCTTATATCTCAGCCGGACGATGAGTTATGGAGCTGAAATTTTTTGTGCTAGTGGGAGACAAATTAAGGAACGTGAGGAAAAAAATATCTGAGATCGCACCATAGGAACTGGAGTTACAGGAAAAAAGGTTAAGAAAATGTAATTGTACAAATAAGTTACGATTCACTCACATACTAAATAACTATGCACACCCACACCACAAGATATTTTTTTCGAAAGATTTTTCTCAAGATTTTCGATCTTCCCAAAGTACTAAATGATCCATTTTCTTGAAAAAAATATAAAAAATACTCATCTT